TGGGGGGGAGTGTATTATCTGTGTTAGCTTTTGCTCAGCTTTGAATACAGCAACCTTATTTTTGGAGTTTGATCTAAGGCAAGAAGAGTATAGCATAACCTCCACTGAATATGCACCCCTAACAATGTTTAAAGAAAAAAAATGTTGATGAAATAACTAATTTAATGTGCAATTCATCGAGGAGAAGTGGGAAGCATAATCTTTTTAATTTTTTTTTTTAAATAGCAGCCTTGCTGTGTAAGGGAGTTTTGTTATAAAGAGGCAGTTTCATGGTAGAATGAACAAGGAAAAGGCAAATGATCACAAACAAAGCAACAAACTTTGCTGCTCATTGTCAGTGTTTTATCCAGCTGTCAGTAGGTCTCTCCCAAATAAGAGCCTGCTTTTTCCCCAGAGGGCTTTCCCTTCACTTCCATCATGCAATGATTTTTTTTTTCTTTGACTTTGAAATACAAGTTTCTTCCTATGGAAATGAATTCTGGATCACAAGTTCAGAAGAGGAGCAGAAGCAGCCTGATGAGAGATGGGCTCTGAGGCTAAATGCCATGTTTAATCACACACAGGTGCTTTAACTCTCAAAGTGCTAACAGAAGCTGTGAATTTGTGAAAAGTTAATAGATCTGAGTGTGTTTGGATGATGCAGGGGAGCCACCCTTAGACGTTAGTCCAGATTTCGGTGCCCTGTGCTCAAGGGAATGGCTGTGCTGGGGATAACTGGACTTTTTCCAGAGAGCTCCCATTCTTCTGTTACCTTCAAGGTCATTTTATTAAGTTTCCTCTGTATCCTAAGATATTGGTGATACCATATTACAAAAAGATGAGTATAATTACTTGTTGGACTTTTTGACACATGCTGTAAAATTGGCTATGTGGCAAATGAAAACTGATGGTCCTCTTTTTTTTTTTTTTTACCTTCTGCTCAGACATTTTTCTTTGCTCACACTTAAGAGTATTTCAGAATTCCGTAGTACATATTTAATTACATATATACTCTTGCTTGAAACAAAGTTATTACCTTAGCGCAAATATTTCTAATGCTGACTCAGTGGAGTGAAGGCAGGAGTCTTGGCGTGGGATGAGAGGAGAAGTGTAGGCTTTGTTTAGGTAGCCCCAAAGCTGGAGTGGTTTCCAGGCTGGTAGATCCCTTACCAGTGGCCTAACCTGAAACTTTTCCTGGTGAACCCTGTTGGCGATGTCTTTGTAGGAAAGAGATGCGCAGCTTGTGCCATGGCTGAGTTCTTACTGACCTCTACTCTGTTCTTTTAGGTGTTTTTTTCCTGCACGTGCAGTGGTGCTGTTGATGGGACCCTAAAGAAAAAGGCTGAAAAATTCAAGGCTCATCTAACGAAGAAATTTAAATGGGACTTTGAGGCAGAGCCTGATGACTGCGCTCCTGTAGTGGTAGAACTTCCTGAGGGCGTGCAGGTGGACTAAGCAAAGTGGTCGCTTAGAAACAAACAGCTTGTTAAAATAACTCTTTCTCCACATCTTCTCCAACCTTGCCAGCTTCCTAAAGTCTGTTTCTGAAGCTGACTCCTCTTTCTGCTGTAGAAGCAGATGTGGAAAACCCAGGAGGATTCCTAACTTTGCAAGGAGACCAGAATTATTGGAGGAGTTTGAGTATTGTCACGCGGCTACTTTGGACACCTTGTTTTTTCCCTAGCTTTTCTGCAGCATCTCCTCATTCTGTACTCAGCTGACCTCTAGATCCCCGGTCCCTTCCGTCTTCCTGGGCTGGAGCTGACACCCTGTTTGGAGAGCATCTGTGGTTTACACTTGAAGCCTTTGCTGCTCCGATTTGATACCTCCTGAGCGAGGAGTGTAAGCCCACGTGACTGGTTATTGCAGTTTTGGACAGCCTGAACTCAGGCTATGAACTGAGAAGTTCTGCTCTTCCTAGGCTTGCATTACAGGGATCTAACCGCAACTGTTTCAAAATTGTGTTGGATGCTTCTGCTGCTAACTGTGATTTATTGCAATGATCTGTTGTGGAGGAGGACTCAAAGCCACAGCAAAATTCCTCCCATTTCATACCCTGAATACTGAGGTACCTTATTCCTCCCATCCTGTTAAAGCCTTTTGTATTTACTAATGACACTCTGTTTAGCCTGATGTAAAAGAAAGTTAACAGTTTGGTAACAAGAAATAGAGTTATTGGACATGAGTCACCCAGGTCTTGAAGAAGATAGCCAGCATGAGATAAAAGGTCAGACTTCCACATGAACTGGATCCTCTGTTGTGTTATAATTGGAAATCTTTACATATTTTCACTGGTGACAGTCTCTTCTTTCTCCCCGTTTCCCACAGGTAGGCTGTAAGAAAACTTGTGGTGCTCTTTCAGAGCTGCACGGGGACTTACTCCAACCACCCGTTTGTTACTTTCTCGGCTGTTAGACTCCTTCAAGAATTCGTCTGTATGCATGTCTAACAAGATAACACTGTTTGTTAGTCTTTTATAGTTCAAAATAAATCTCAACAGCCTTGCCTACAGAAAACGTCTGTACGAATAGTTTTTTAGTTATTTAGCCAAAGCTTATGGTACTGTGACACTGCTATCTCTTTCTCATTGGGATGTCCAGTGTCCCCAGAAGTAACATCACAATGGTATCTGCGACATCCGAGGACAACTCATAGTAAAATGGTACATGGCATAGCACAAAGCGCAGCGTGTTCTGGGAAGAAGGTATGTGATGAGGTGTTTCCAGATAATCAGGAATTACCGCAGGAATCGGCTGTCAGAAGCCCTTGTCTACTGCTTGGTGCAGTTTCCTCCCTTTTCTCAAGGGCTCTGCAGTCCATTACTCTGGTAATGGTCTTGGTTTGTCCATTTTAAATGCACTCCATATTGACCACAGGCCCTTAGGGGAGGTTACTCTGATTTGGCAAGTGTTCTGTTCTTAAATCTTTCTTTCCATGCTTTTTTGTCTTTAACACCCTTGAGATGTTTTGTACAGTACTTTGACTGTGCTCTCCTCTTGTCTTCTTGCTCTTTGTATCCACAGGCAGTGCTGTCTTTGCAGTTGCCAGTTGGACAAATCATTTGTAATAAATGGCCCCAGCTTTGATAAAGGTGCCTTTTTGGTTTGTTGGCTCTTTGCACCAACCTGATGACTGGTTCTGTTGCTTTGGAGCAGAACACCAATCACTGATGTAAGTAGTAAGTAGCGAAGGTAGCATGGAGCCCAGGGACCTGCCTGTCTGGAAGGGAGAGAGGAACAGTGCTCCATGGCTACAGACCAGGCTGGCCGGGCAGCGTCAGCGCTGTGCAGGCTGTCCTGGCAATGCTCCCGCTTGTTTGATGAATAGATTAATGGGAGTGTGTCTTTGTTAAATCTCAAAAACAATAACTGAAAATTAACTTCCAAAGTGTGTAACTACACTTTTAGCAACTGAGAAAAGGGAATATAATTGTACTTCCATTGTGCTTTTTTTCTTTTTTGCAAGGTTGTAATAGGGAGAGGTAATATCTCTTATTAGACCCACAAAATAGGTGAGGAAGAAACAGGCCTTTGGGGACACAGTCCCTTTGTTAGATGTGAAACAGAAGCAGCGAACTTTCGGCTAAATACAGGTTGAGGTGTTCAGAATTCAACTCCATTATATGAATCAATTGCACACTTTGAGAGAAAAGGGAAGCTGGCACATATGAAGCAACATATGTTGGATGTTTGCAAGGGGCGGGGTATAAATTTTGGGAGGGAAAAGTGTGTTGTTATTG